TGTAAACCTGAGGCTCCTGACGCTGAAATCGCGTTTGGTGTGAACGCACCATTAGACACAAATCTAGCGGTGTGCCACATAAATGTGTCAGGGTGTTTTTTTTAAATCAGGCTTGGTTTGAATTTGACCACATTATGGTAAATGATGAACAATCATCTGGTAAGATAGAGTGAAGCAACTGAAGAGGTGCAGGAAAAATATCAAAGTTTATTCACTTGTATTTAAGAAGGGCTTTTTAAAGGTATTTTAAAAAAAATATATGAAACTGATCACCTTCACAAAAGATTTCTAAATTACAAAACACCCCATAATAATTGCAACATTATATTCTTTCTTTCAGTCTAAAATTTAGAGTTTGGAAGTTGAACAGTAAAAGTTAACACATAAAAACAACCGGGACAGTTACCTTACGCAGCATCTCGTTATCCTGCACGTCGTTCACCTCGTTGGCGCTGATCTCCCCTTTCAGAGTGTACTCGTAGAACTTGCCGCTGACGTTGACCAGGAGGGTGGCGGGGCTGGCGTTGACAACGCAGGCCATGGATGCTGTGCTCACATCTCGCGGAACGTGAACGCCGTACCGTAAGATTACACCGACGATTAAGCCTGTGGAAAACAGAAGAGACAATAAAGATCAGAGATAAGCACAAATAACATTTTATATTTATTGTTTTTGTCGATGTGAGGCAGCCACTACAGCAAATCAACAACAAAATTGGCTATAATTCAGTCTGTTTTCCAATTATTGTACGTGGTAGTAGCTAATGTCATCCTACACACAAATGATGTATATTTAAATATTTGACATTAACATTTCTTATTATAAAAACCTCATGTAAACGCTCCACTTGGCTCACTGATTTGTTAAAGGACTGTTTACAACAGTGTTTCCCAAAGTTGGGGTTGGGACCCAAAGTGGGGTCCCAAAACTTCAAGGTGGGGTCCTGAAAAGATTTTCTGAATTAATGAAATTTTTGCCTTAGTTGTTACAAATGAGTGAGGTTAGTATATTTAAAATGGATAAATGTAATATAAAAAAACATTGTTACTATGCCCATGTTTTGTTAACCTGATACAAATGTTTATCATCCAAAACTAGCTGGGGGCACAGGTCTCTCCTACTGTTATTTTGTGGGTCAAAAGCTGAAAAGTTTGGGAACCACTGCACTTTGGTTCCCAAAGTTGGGCTTGGGACCCAATTATGGGTCATGAAGCACCTTGGATAATCTCCAGAAATCAATTTAAAGGTTAATAAAATAATTGCTGATGCAATATTTTCCCTATAACTATTACAAAAATACAAAACAAGTATAAATAAGTATTTATATTTGTGTACAAGCTGTTTAGATTGTCAAAAAGCCTGTGWTTTTAGGGTAATTAACAAAGTTTGTGTACTCAGACCAGTAATATTTGGGGTCACAAGTTTTTGCCATGAATATTTTGTGGGTCAGAAGATAAAAAGTTTGGGAACCTCTGGATTACAAGATGCGTAAATATTCTGTCTGTAACTATAAAGAAGGTGTTGATTTCTGGGTTAAAGAGGAAACAATCATGTTTTCAGTCAGGTTTAGTCTAACCAGCCCTTTGTGTGGAGAGAGGAAGTGAAATTTTATCTAGTTTTTTTGGTTACAGTTGTTCTGTTTGTAGTGTGAAGGTCAGCTGTGTGGATTTTATTGTTTAAAACCAAACCCAGGAGGCCCTTTAATGCCTCCATGGGTCTAATGACTGTAAATGAAGACATGTTTAACCTCATCAGGCACTGATGGCGTCATCTCACCGTAGATCATGGCCAGCCCGGTCTCGTGCAGAAATCTGAACCGCCGGTGTTTGAACAACCAGATGGTTAAAATGGTGAGGGTGAGGAGCATGATGAAGATGAGCAGGTCAGCGCTGTCYTGTCTGTGGCTCTCCTCAGCCTTTTTCTCCGTAACGATGTTCTCCATGGCACTGTCCTCCTCCTCCTGGGGGGAGGATGCTCGGCAAACACCGACGAACACACACAGGCTCACTGGGAGGAGGAACCACCGCGTCCTCGTAGTCCTCCGGGAGCTGCCGACGGTCRCTCTGAACACCATCCTGGCTTTAGGACAGGGATGTAATGTTAGACAGAAATRTCCCCAGAAGCGGAAATCAATTCTGCTCAAACGTTTTCCGCTCGCTGAGGTGAGTTGACAGCAAAAGAGACGACAGCAACCAACCCGGAAGTTCAAATGTGTTTTAATGGTAAGCTTTTGTTTTCCTTTCAAAACATTGTTCAAAGTGGTTGCCAATGCTAATGCATTTGAATTGGATAATATTTATACAAAGTATTACATATGTATTTAAAATATAAAATTAAAACAATTATAAATATGTAGTAATTTTTAACATCTGATTTTCTGAGGTGGCAGTATCAACGTCAATGCATGACTCTTATTTTGAAATTATGAATTTGCATTTATTTTGAGCCGGAAATGAAATCAGCGATTACCGTAAAAAAAAAAAAAAGTTCCGTTGACCAACAAAAATATGATTTAATACCATGTTTATTAGCAAACTTGAAAAAAAACTGGTGAAATTTGAATTTAATTAAAATGCTTAAAATTTGCTTTATTTTAGTCAGCAGAACCCCGAGAATAGCGTGACAAACCTCGCGATACATCTGACGTGTTTAGTGTAATGTTTAAAGGCTATTGGTAATTACAACACTTTATTGTCAATGAACAATTTGGATTTTTTATATAGAGCCATAATAACATAAACAAATATTAACATGTTTAAGTTATTTTATGACGTTTTATTTAATGATTTTATGAATGTAGTTTAATTTAATAATCATTTCTCAAGCTTGATTTGGAAACAGTAAAACACCAAAATTCCGAGGTGTACGTGAATGCAGCAGGAGCATCATCGTTTGGGTTTGTTGACCGCCGTAGTTCGGAAACATATTTGGGGAAAAGTAGTTTTCTTTTTGTGTTAGAATCACAAAATTCACTCTTGTTGATCATTATAAATAATTTTAAAAAACTGCTTTAGATGGACCTGTGAATTACAAATCAAGGATGACGTCTAAAATTAAAGGTACGTCTAGCGCTAGCATTTGCTAGCTCGTATAATTGTGCTAACGGCGTCTGTCCTCTTAATCCCACTCATATGTTAACAAGTTTGTATTTAAGCAGTATAAATACAATGACATATAACACAATACGAATGCATTGATGTAACKYRMGTTACATCAATGTGAGTGTGAGTGTTTACACATTTTTTCCTGCAGTATCAATGCTACATTAGCCTAGCTAAATCATTAACATTCACTGTTGTTTAAAACGATCATTTGATTTGGATGTTATTAGTTATAATACAATTATATATACAGTTATAGTACGTTATAGTACAACAGTATTTATGTGACACCACTCTGGTTGTTATGAGTCTTATGCATTCAAGTGTTTGAGAGTTCAAAAAAGGATTTTTTTAATTGTTGTTTTTATAAATCCTCATTTATTGTGGTGTGTTTGGATTCCAGTCGGAAAAGTTGGCTCCAAGAGCAAAGAAGATGCTCCCTATGAGTTGGAAAGCCAATTCATCCTGAGGCTTCCTTCGGTGAGAACATTCAACTCCAGGAAAATATTATGTTTGTCTATAAAAAAGAAAACTTGGGTATGTGTTTAAAATGATGTATATTTATGTTTTTTTCTTTCTTTGTAGGAGTATGCATCCACAGTAAGAAGAGCTGCCCAATCCAGCAGCATGAACATGAAAGACAAACTGACCATTGAGTTGCACCGTAAGTTTTTTAAATAGTATTTAAAAAAACATTGTTTTAACATAGTTTTTTATTTGAGTTAAAACATTGCTTTCACTAAGCACCTCTCTGGGTGTTTATATAATTTCTGTTTTACATTCCAGGAAAATGTCAGCATAAATTTAGTCTGAAATCATAATTTGCTGCAGATCAAATTTGATTATAAAATTAGGCTATATTTCATGTTGTTGTTTGATGCAGAAATATGTGCTTGCTAAAGGACTTTAAAACCCACACAGAAATGTTTTATTTAATTTATTTTACATTTATTWAAAAAAAATAACAATCACTATACTTACCACCAAGTCTATTTTTTAATTACTTATTTTTGAAGGGGTTCATAGCTGTGCTTGTTTTTTCTGTTTTGGACTGTTTTTGTTGTTGTGTGATAACATCAGAATGGTCAGACATGTTTTTCATCATCTAGGTTCTCTTTTTAAACTATTAAATTAAATATTCTGTGAAAGCAGAACAGGTTACAGAAACAGCCGGTCTTACTGTAGGTTTAACTAGTCTAACTGTAGGTTTAAGATTTACCAACATCTTTTAGTTCTGATCAGCTCAGCGGATCACTGGAAATAGATCAGGTGTGGAAACAGAATCTTTATACACAGGGCTGTACTGACGCTTTGCATCTATAGAGACTAAAATTCCAATTTCATATATCGTAATCTGCAAGAACTGATGGAATTCTTGTTTTCTATTTAACATTGACTGCAGTGTCCAAACAACAGTGCTTTCTAATAAAAATCACCCTTTTTTCTCTGTAGCCGATGGTCGTCACGGAATAGTCCGGGTCGACCGTGTTCCTTTGGCCTGCAAACTGGTGGACTTGCCTTGTATGATTGAGTCCCTGAAAACAGTCGACAAGAAAACATTTTACAAAACGGCTGATGTCTGCCAGGTATCCTGCTACTCTCATCAGAATTACTTTTGGGCTTTGATCCTCATGATTTTATATATATA